CGCACATTCTAAAACTATCATTTGCCAATGAGTGTAGTCTGGAACACTCAATAAACGTCGAAAATTAACGACGAATAAGTCAACAACACATCGAAAACAAAGTAATTAAGTTATCACCTATCCTAAATTCCTGATATCTACATATGGACTTCATTATCGTGTCGTATTAGGCTGTCGTACGTGTCATCGTTTTCAGTAGGCAATGCCACGGCACATAGTATTCGAAACGCGCCTTGTTGGGTGCAAGTAATGCAAGTCAAGGTGGCCGCTTGCGCAACGCTGCGTCCGCGCAACCAGGCCGCCAGACAAGCGCAACTGACGACAATCTGCATTCTGTAATTATTGTACAGATTTAATTGAGCTACCTTAATAATGCTCTCGCTTCCACACTAAGTATAGATTTATCTATATTTTATTATGGTTTTGAATAAAAGTAAATCGTTTTCCTTGATAATAATTTTGTGTGTCACGTCTAAGCTTGTGTGTAACCAACCACGGTAAACGCCTCGACAGGCAGCGCCACGACGTCTAGTAAGTATATTCGCGATGTAATATAAAATACACTACGTATTATTGTTATCAGTTTATAGAGGACTGTACTGTGTAAATAATTATTCGTATTATTTACTCACTTATGTATCGATTTATACATTTGAACACAGTCACGTGTATTTATATGTATGCGCGTAGCGAAATTATCTATAATGAAATTAATTTTTACTGTTTAAGAAATATTTGTACATGCAAAATAATTTATCATTTCAATATTACCTAATAGATCGAAGAATATTACAGAGAATATTAGAGAAAGAGAAGAGAAGAATATTACACATTTCAATTTCACTACATGTACACAATTTTTTTTTTATATGGACGAACAAGTCGTGTGCCTGGTGGTGAGCGACACGTCTGTCCCTTTATCCATGTCTTCAAACTCTTGTAAAGGTTTAAATATTATCAATTCCACATGCAACATCAAAACGCACGAAGTAATTGGTAAACTTTTCTTTCAGATCGTTAAGTCGACTGTCGGTCTTGTTGCCCATTAGGGTCACGCTAATGTAAAAAACTCACTATTCTGTTCTTTTAACTAATGAGCAGCATGTACATGGATATACATACACATAGAAGTGGTTTTTCGATGTTAAATTGAATAACGTGGCTGCGCCCGCATTGATTGTTTCCATGAGAACTCTAGCCATGGGAACAGTGGAGAGCACCAGCTATTCTTGTCGTACTAACTATATCAAACAAACCCATTCCTGGAATATCGTTTCTCACTACATTTGCTTGTAATTAGCGTTATTTGAATAAGATAATTGTATGAACTAAGGTTGACGAGGGTAAGTTTTGAATTCGATTATTCGGTTTGAACTTGTTTACACAAGTAACAAGCATGTTTACTTGAAAAAAAAATTACAAAGGTTACAAGGCTCCTCAAGAATATACATACGTTTTTATAGTTCTATTAACCAGAAAATACGAGTAAGGGGCGCACGCGTACTCTTGCAGTGTATTTATATCCACCCGCCCCACACGCACTATGAGGCACGAGGTGCGCGGGAGACGCTTGAACGACGTTTCTATTCCAAGCGGGACCTTGTATATTCACTGAGCAAACACAATGAGATGGCAACTGCAAGGGCAGATCCTGTCATCGGATGCTGTTGCATTTCTACCTACGTATGTATTGCTGCACAGGATATTGGGTTAAAATTATGAAGAAAGTATGCCCAATTTCTGGAACGTTACGAAAAAATGTCAATCATTTAGCCTATTTGAATTGAATGTGATTGTACTCTACACTTTAGAAAAAACATTTACAACACTGATTCATAGTACCTACCTAAGACCGAATTCTTTAGCAAGTACATTTCTTAGAATTTCGCTGGATACAGGTTATTGTTTACATGCTAGAATAGAAAACGTACAGGTACAAAATGAGTTAGTTAATTATTCCGGTATCTGCATTAGTCATTTACTCATTAAAGCTATACGTGATCCACAATATCAGTGTACTGCAAAGTACAATTAATCATTGACCGTCCGTCAGACTTATGTCAGCATTAACACCTTGCAGCGACGACATTAAACATGAATTCTATTTTGTAATAATTGTGATTAATTTCATGCTTCATTGTATTTTAATCTATATTATTGATTTCGTAAATCGAGATAATTCTAACTTTTCATCGATGTTTTAGATTGCTTAAAGATGGTCACCTCAAAATTTTAATTTAAAGATGACATCCCACGATGATACATCTTGTCTAACCCACTTATGTGAATATGAAAATGATTGTGGTTTATTAAAAGCACTTTACAATTACTTTACAATATGAAAGAACCAATCAAATGTCGACCGATTACCATGATGGTAAGGAGTCATTGTAAATGATCTTAACATCTGAATGAATAAAGTCACGACACAAGTGAACTCTATTATTATGCATATGAATCTTAGTCCTCCGCGTTCCGCAACGTGATGACGACCGTGGCAGGCGCATTGGAACAATGAATTTTGTTCCAGGAAATGGAAGCGTGTTGTATAAGTATCGAGAACAAGAATGTTATTTACCTGCGAACAGTGAACATTAACAGAACCTAAAGTTCCTAGCTATAGTCTTAAGAGACAACTCTTGTAACTTCTGTACTAAAAATAGTACCACCTATAATCGTACCATGTTTGCGAGCAATAACATAGGTAACATCGACACGTTGATTTGCATTGAAAATTCAGGTGTGTTACGACTAGACGAGGTAGGGGCAAACTCTATTTCCCTTTGTGTAATCAATATCAGGGCTCGGGATCCTGCATTCTCTGTTTCACTCTGAGTTTACTTTCGTTATTCAGATTTATTACTGACATTACAGGGTATGTGTTTAATAATGGCCGCCAGAATTTATAACCATTTATTCAGTTACCCCAACGATATTGTAAAATACATATCTATTCCGATTACATTGTGCGCATTTATGTTTATTATATTACGGATCAGTGTAAAATGCAAATGGAATATACAAAGAATACAATAAAGCTAACTTTCAATAAATTGCAATTGCGTCACAAAACATAAAATCAAAGCGTTAACCATTTACAACGAAACGAATGTATTAGCGTTATCGCCGCAGCCGCCATTTATTAAAGGGAAAACGCGAACAATATCCGGCGCACGGCCTTCGTTTTCGGTATACGGCACCGAATCACAGCTCTGTACAATAATCAGAAAACAATACAAAGGCAATATAAATTATCCCAAATACACACAACTTTACGCTGAACATTGGTTATCCCTCTTTTACTATGCTTTAATCCAATGTACAAGATTTGGAGTCAACTGACGACAGTAATTAACTAATGTATATAATATAAGTTTGTAGCGGGGCGTTATGCAGGGAATTATGGTTAAAATCTTTTATCCGGGGCTGGGGCACGGACGGAGCACGGCAAGTCGTTAAAAGGCAATAAAAATTAAAAGTCAACGACACACCTACGTGTTCCTAGAAAGGTCAATTACGAGTGCGTTATGGGTTATACATACAGTGATTTAAGTTTATAGATATATACCCAGAAACCAAGAATTTATTATGACTTTTGGCAGCGAACATCACTAGTGCAATAGTAGTGTGTGCAAGTTCTGTGTAATGTGACTATAAGTTAAGGTACCTCGGTACCTGTGTATTCCTCAAAAAGTCACATAGACTCCTGGCTACGGAAATCAACATTTTGTCATTTTTATCAAGTGTAGCCATGTAGACGTTACAAGGGTGTGTGAAAAAGAATCCAAGTTGTGGAGAAATAACAAATATCAATACATAATAATTGTTTACAAACATGCGAGGAAGTAAATACAACATTTAGAACGCCATGCCTACCAACAATGTCGGGGCGAATTAGTTGAATCTGGGCCAGTAACGGCACCTAAAAAGTGGCAGCCTATAACCACACAACTACTGAGTAAGCGAGGCAAGGCCTTCAACTTAACGCTGTCATATCGCTGTGCCACTTACCCAACAATTGTTCCATCACCTGTCACCACAAAATAAAATCCTCGCTTTAATTATTATTGATGTAAGGCTTTCGTCTGATAATCCCACTGGCGACATTATTTAGGAAATATACAACATCAATTAGCGCATGAAGCATTTGTACGTTCTATTCATTTATAATCATAGTGGAAATCATAATGTCAGGATATTTAATAGCCATCATAAAACAGTGATGCGGTAATTCTGCATGATCGGCGAAATGACGTTGAATGAGAAGAGAGAAAGCAAGTTTTGCACGTAAAGATAATCGCAATTAACTACTTGGACGAACGTTGTAGAAACTAAGGATGGTTGCGCACTACGTACGTCACGGTCCAACAGCTCCTACCGTTTGCCAGTACGCGCCCCAGTCGTTTACCCGTGCCACTTAGAGATTGATTCAAGCAGTAATCCCGTTACATTCTTAACCATTATTTAGATCAATAAACTAATTATCAATTTCTCGCCAATTTGCTCAAGGTTGACGTGTATCATATTACCTATTTATAAATAAACACCCACACAAACTATATACACTTTCTTTTGTTTAGCAAGTTAGCGAATGACAGCAATAAGCGCCGACGTTTCTTGCACTGACACGCAATGTATTTGATACGTTTCTTGAAGATAATGCATACTCGAGCGGCCACATGGTATGTGACGCCACAACAAAAACCTTTCTTGGTATGTGCGAATAGACTGTATCAAATAATCAATGCTCTCTGTATAGATGCTATCTATTGGTTATGGTCTGTTTGGCATTGCTTTCTGGTGGAATACTAATGCCAATGCTTAAATGTTGTTTCTATTGTAGATACATACCAAATAATATGTTATTGAATTGTGATATGCAATGGAAGAGTAAACAAAAATAGAAAGAAAATTGTAGATAAAAACAAACGATAGATTACCTTTTGAGTCTGAAGAATAAAACTGCACTCATAATCTCCCACTTAAAACTTTTATTATAGATACTTTGTTATATGTATTATCACAAATCCTGGTAGACTTTTAAAACACAATCACGCAACTGACAATTCTTACTGTATTTCCTTGATTACTGATTTCGCATATAAACAATTTACACAATAAAACACAATTCTGCGACATTACTTAAGTGTATACCGTTGCTCATCACACTCCACTCTACACAATCATAACTTTATTGCATATTTGGATGGTTTTTAACTCCTAGACTGTCTTTCTCCAACATTAATCTCATGAAATTATATACAAAGTTGACTAATATTACTTTACATTACAACTTAGATTGATGCAGCTTCCACTTGCATCTGTTTTGATGAACAAAACAAAGCAGTTAATGATGCTGCTTGTATTTAAGTTTACTCCAATAACATATTTGTTCATTTTGTATGGAAATGGTTACTGCGGGAGTATCTACCAGTACTAAAGTATGAAAATATAAGATAAAGCACCTCGATTGGACAATGGTATGTATCAAAGATATTAACAACGTGATATGACGCGCGTCGCGGCCGCCGAGAGTCTAGGCGCCGAGGAAGAGGTCGAGACCAGGCCCAGGCCGAGAACCGGGCCGGCGCGCTCGCGCCCCAGCTGGCTCGCGGCCGAGTCTGGGACAGGCACTCTCCCGCCTCACCCTTGCAGTCTTACGAGAAATAAATGCCACATTACACCCTATATATTAAAGCACTGTACAACAACAATAAGTTTTCTTTTCCTTTTCAGGACTAACGTTCATTTCACGCACTATTTCGGCAAACATTTCGTTGACGTTGGTGCGGCTCTTGGCGGAGGCCTCGACGAAGGGGCAGCCCCACATCTGCGCGAGCGCGGCGCCCTCGGTTTGCGCCACCTCACGCTGGTGCTCCAGGTCCACCTTATTGCCCACCAAGAGTATAGGAACACGCTCCGAGCCCTTTACGCGCGTTATCAATTCCTTCATCGGTTTGATATCTTGGAACGTTTGATGATTCGTTAACGAATATACTACCACAAAGCCTTGTCCGTTTTTTATATACAGATCCCGCATAGAAGCGAATTGCTCTGTGCCGGCGGTATCCAGTATTTCTAAAACACACGGTGAATTATCCACTTCGATCTCTTTTCTATAGAAGTCTTCTATCGTGGGATCATATTTTTCCATGAAACATCCGGACACAAACTGTACAGTCAGAGCACTTTTGCCGACCCCACCCGAGCCCAGCACGACCACTTTGAATTCGCGCATTGTTATAGTTTATAACACACTTGCAAGTGTTCCACACACAACGTTTTAGAAACGTATCTCACTGTGCTATAAAAGTGTCATTGCTATGTTGGTTTATGAGTCACTCGGGATGTATTCACTGACGAACATTCACTTAGAACCAGTTACTAATTGATAAACACCGACGACGCCATTTTAGTTGAACGAGTGGCAAATAACTTGAATCGCATCGCGATGGCAGTCAAAGACATGACGCGGACGCGGAAGCAGCCATCTATACAACTGATGGACCAACTTACTCGCTGCTCTGCTGGAGTCGGCAGCAGCAGCAGGTTGGTCAATGCACTTTGTTGCAATGGTTTGATTGGTGAATGGAAAACAGTACTGAAAAACCGGAAGTCAGTGTTGCAACAATAGAAATTAAGTTTACCCTGAGATGACAAATAATGATCGCGGCCGGTTCACTAAGTTATTCATTTGATATTAAAATTAAATTACTCAAATCAAAAAATTAACCTTTCATTTTATATCTTATCGTCAGTAGCTCCAACCAATATTAAAAGCATGGTACCCAAACCTCATGGTCTGATTTTTTTTATAATAAACAACAAGCAAAACTTTAGTAAAATAATTCACGATTCATAGTTAGTCACGGGTCTTCTCAAAAAAATATTATTACGCATCCTTTTCATCTAGAAGACCATCTGACTGTAAGTAGTTTGAATATCAGTACAAAATATTCTATATTTATTATTTAACTCTTACTAGTATTAAAATATTGATGCTAACATTAGAGGGTAAATATTTGTACTAGCAACATTGGCCGGATACAGCTTACATCTGTAAGTTGTCTACCCTGTTGTGCGTTCAAATATTTAAAATAATCAAATTGTTGCTCTTAAAACCTAAACTATATTTCGATTACGATGCTCTAAACAGTTTATTTATTTTTATAATGTATGCATAATGTTACTCTTAAAGAAATTTAACTAATGTTGTTTTTTCTGTGGTAACTAAAATTGTAACAACATTGAAAATCACTTTTCCCATCGAAAAAATAATTTTACAAGCAATATGAACGCAAGTATTATTCTACTGTGATTTTTGAGCTCTATAACCTCTAGAACATTGAAATTTTAGACAAGGAATTCTCCTAACGAATCGATTAATCTATGTTTCAGGACAATTACTAAGTAATCTGTGGTTTTATAAACGGAAACAAAAACAGAAAGAATTTTTTTTGTTTCCGTACGGTTTCCATAGTCTAAGGGTTTTTTTTTTGTAGGGGAAACTTACAGGATGGAAAAAATAAAGGATGGGGAGGTGGGGAACTATAGAGAATGGGGATTAGGCGAGGAAATATGAGTTACAATAAGGGTGTATTTCCACTGGCGAGACGAGACGATTTTTAAAACATTTATAGCAAAATATCAATTCTCTCCTTGCGCATCGTATACTATAAGGTATACTTTAATTTCAGAGAAAATTAAACAAACTACAGTCAATGAAAAATATACAGTCCTGGTGTCATACATGTATCCATCCATATAATTTTCGTAAATATTTATACATTGCATATTATATGTTTATAATTGCATTAAAATGTACACGATTAGGATTGTGATTTTATCATAAATATGTAAACACTTTTAAAACATTTAGTAATAGCTCCTCGCATACACGCATAACACTCCGGAGGTTGAGCGCCCCGTATGTACGTCGCCGCCATGATCTGCATCACTAAAGCATTCCAGAACACTCTTATTTCTGCCATAATTGATTCCGAAATCTGGAGTATACTGCAGATATCTCATGATCCTCTTCACCCTGGCACAGTTATCATCAGTAGGACTATCGAGGCTTCATGACACCACACTGACAGCATACGCTTTGTCTGGCCTTGTCCCGATCATCAAATAGGCTAGTGCTCCAACAATCTGCCTATATTTCAGTTTGATATCTGAATTGTCTCTTTATTCAACGTGTGTTTGTCCATCATTTACAATAGGTGTTGATACCGGTTTGCACTGCTCCATACCAAACCTCTTCATCAACTTCTTTGTGTAGGAAGTCTGATGTATCTTTGACCGTCTTCTCTGTGTTCCATCTCTATACCAAGAAAATAAGACGCAAATTTTGTTGTGATTCTAAAACCTTTACTCAATTGCTCCAGACATTCTTTCAGTAACTTCTCATTTGAGCCTGCTATCAGCCCATCATCCACGTACATACAGTGCGACAATAAGTTTTCCAGCTTTAGAATTTCTAATAAATAAGCATGGATCTGTTTCACTTACTTTAAATTCAATTTCCTTGAAGAAATTCATTATACGCTTATTCCAGCAGCGCGGAGCATGCTTTAGCCATAAAAACTTCTTTGTAAAAGGCATACACGTCCAGTACCACCATTATATCCTTCAGGTTGCTTCCTGTAGATCTCTTCATCAAGGTCTCCATATAAAAACGCAGTTGTTACATCAAACTGTACAATAGCCATATTTTCACTATCAGCTACGCTAAGTACCGCTCTCACTGTTCCTAGTTTAGCAACAGGGCTAAAAGTTTGATCATAATCAATTCCCTTTTTTTGTGAATATCCTTTGACTACCAAACGCGCCTTGAACTTGTCTACCGTACCATCTGGCCCAGATGATCTGGGTTGTGCTTTACTCGATAAAACCACTTACATGGTATGCATTTCCTTTTCTCCGGTAGGTCCACAAGTATCCAAGTCTTGTTTTCTTTTAACGAATTTATTTCGCTGTTTTCCATAGCTTTACACCATTCATTGGCATTTCGAAATTTTATTGCTCCTTTGTAAGTTTCTGGTTCAGGGACATGCCTTTTGTTTTGATATCCAAAACGGTCATGGTACAATTGTAGCAAATGTTCCTTCTATACAACTGTGACATAAGTTGAAGGCATCGGTATCAAGGCTTTACAATTCAGAGTAAATAGACCCCCACACCTCAAACGTTTTCCTGTAACTATGACTTTACCGCCAATCTTCAAAGTATATGATTCTACGTATGACTCAAACACACTATTAGGGTTCATATCTTGAGCCGCCAACACAGAAAACAAATTCCTATTAATTCCAGGTCCGTTCCAAACATCTCTGAGGTAAAACCGACTCGGTTTTCCAGGTTTTGTCATTCCAGACTTCTTCACAGGACAATGCAACTTTAAATGACTTTTTCCTTGTATATAAAGCAGCGTCTGGTCTCGTCTTTCGAAGTATCTGAATTCTGTTTTAGTACCTTCTGATTTTTTATTTGAACACATTGTCTTGTCAAACTTGTCAAACTTTTTACTGTTCTGTCCTTCTTTGACAGTAGCATCCAACTTGCTTTAAATGAGAAATATGTATCCGGCAAACTATCCAAAATCTTGCCGATTAGCAGAAACTCCGGCAAATCTGTACCTTCACCTGATTTGACAACTCCTTCTTCAATGCATGCCACAAATTTTTCAATTTCGAAATACAAGTCACCATGTCGGATGATGGATCATTTTTCGCGTTAAAAAATGGCAAACAAGCTTTATGCAAACGTTCCTCGTTCTTAGAGTGACAGAATCTCATCACATTGTCCAGCATTTCATCCGAGATGTTGTTCTTGATCAAAAGCAACGCAGTACTTAAAGATCTTTTGTATTCTCTTATCATCCGAATGTACTCCCCAAGAACAGAAGTGTCACCATCACCGTCAGAGTTTGGGTGTAATTTGTGGTTGTCTATATGTGTGTTCATGGCACCCGTGTCACAGGCTTTCCCTAGTGCGGGGCTATGTTGAGTGTGTGCGTTATTGTTATTGTTGTTATTTTTACTTTGCCCTCCATGATATCTATTAATCCGTTGATGCCGTTGAGCATTGGGGTCATGCGATAACGCTATTGGACCCAGTTATATCCATCCAGCTTCGTAATCTGCATTTTACATAATTCCATTTTGATCGAATTTTTCCGCGTAGTTTCTCAAAACTTCAACAAATATAGTCCATTTTCGCTTAGAACTTATAGTTCATGAATTTAGTACACTTTCCTAATACTATTTATAAATAAAATTGTAAATACATTTTGCTATATATCTCTTTTTATTTTTCCAATATTTTTTTACAACTATATTTAAACATGACATTTAATTTCAATTTATGACCGTTGACTTTCATTGAACATCATACTCAGACTCTAACACAAACAGCTTATGTTACAACATAATTATTTCTTGATTACAGTATCTTCATCTGATTCTTCTCCGTTAACATATAATAATAAGAATCTGCGGGACATGGTACATACTTTAGCCCTGTGTTAATCGCTAGACGAATTGAACAGCACTGTGTCTTCACTATCCATAACCATAGCGCGAGCTCGCGATGGCAATTTTTGGTGGAAATAGGTCGGCGAGATTTCAATTCTCGCATCGCCTCATCTCGTCTCTTCTCGTCGGTGGAAAAGCACTTTATGAGGAACATTTTACTTGTATAGGAACACAAGCAAAATTTTATATTATTTTACTAGATAGATAAGTGTAAGTAAAAAAAGAGTTGTTGAATAATTCGACAATAGCGCAAGATGGATGAAAGGAAGGAAGGGACCTTTTTCACTTAATCAATTCAACATTCATCATGAAAAAAAAGCAACAGTTTTAGCTACCCACAAACTATTAAGAGATTGGCTAACTACGTCCTTGGATTTGACCACAGACATAACATGTATCTGTGAGTTTGACAAACATAATAACATAACATACAATCAATACAATAGATGCTTGCATGCTATAAATATATTGTTAGTTATATACATACGTAGTTACGAATTATTGACAAACTTTTCATATTCTGTTATATTGGTATGAAAAAAAAGGAAATTGCAGTGCTTTATCATATTTCTTGTGAGATTATATTATATGCACTATAGATCAAGCGGTTGTGAAAATTTTTTAGCATTCTATTTTTCATTATAGAGGTCACATAAAGTGACCTTTAAATATTGATACAGACGAAAATACTTTGCTCTGATAGATACGAATATACTTTTCGCGAAGTGCTACCGGGCGTGTCTAATTTGTGCCACGCCGCGCATCACGCAATCGGGCGCACCATCAGATCTGGGACTAGTTAACAATTTCAAGGTTGTTGAGGATGATCATAATTTGAAGTAATTGAGTGACTGAATCTACTGCATACATAATTGTTGCCGGCTCGCAAAGTACATGCATAATATATAAGTGATTACGTGCTGAATTTGTAAATATTTCATACTTCTAAAAATAGGAGTGCTCTGTAGTTGCTGAAATTGTGTTAAGTGTGTGTTATATTTCCAGGGGTTTTTCACAACGTGACTAATAATTTCGTACGTTTTCCGCTTTACAGGACTGCAATATGTCTCATAAACCATACACTCCAAATTTCCCACAAAGTCAAGAGACTGCAGAGCTTCTAGAAGCGCAAAAGCCAAATGAAAGTTACGCTATGACAGTTCAAAGTAGCTACCCTGGGCCTCTTCAACATGGGCCTGCACCAGGCATTCAACCTCCTGGCATTCCTATGCAATCTGGTCATCAACCAGGGTTCCAACCTGGGTACCAGCCTGGATATCAGCCGGGGTTCCAACCTGGCTTCTCACCTGGATACCAACCACAGCCAGGGTATCCTCCTATGCAGGGTGGCTATCAGCCAGGGTATGTACCAGGAGCTCCAATAGTACACCAGCCAGGAATGCAGCCTCAAGGTCCACCAGGTAAGTTAACCAATAGACTGTTGTATAAATTTATGTTTTGTTTTCCCTTTGTAATATTTTTGTGTTTTTTGAGTACAGAGTTTCCATATTTAAAATCATTTTCTTTGTAAGTTTTTAATTTATTTGAAAATACATCTATATTTTGGGTTCATTATTTTACATTATGTTTATTAAAATATAAATGTATACACCTACATATGAGTGTGTTAAATATGTGAAAGAAAATAAAAGTAAATATGAGATAATTTTATTGTATACGTATAAGTTTACATTTTGGTCTTAAACGAGCTAGCAAGGGCAAGGTTTTAAGTTTACTGGATAGTGCGGAGTTTGGCCACCATGATATTCAATTATTTTTGTGAAGTCTTTGTATTAATAATTATTACAAACTAGTGGAGTCATTTCATTTCACAAAACATCCAATAAACTTAAAAATTATAATTATTTTTATGATTTCTTTTTAAACCTATCCCTACCTATTGCATCTATTTAAATAAATAATGATACTAAATAATATGGTCTGTGATACTAAATTTCCAAAACTAAATACGTTCCGAAAAATTAATTTTTCACTGTAAAGTCTGTTATATATATAATTGTTGTGATATCATTGTTTAGGTAAGTATATCATTGAGGACTATGTGAACGACTTCTTTGCACAGATAAGATTGTTTACCTCCACTGAGCAAGCATACTGTTATAAGAACATTGATAGGTAATAATCACTATGTCTATGTGAGTGACACTTGCCCATAAAGTTGTGATTTTCACTCGTGTTTGATATTTCATTTTACAATTTGTAACAAGTAACAGTGAGTCAGTACAACCTTGGTACAAAAGTGAAAATGTTAAAAGTACAATCACAACATAATTCCTTGGAACTGTCTGAAGAAAAATTATTTGAAAATAATCATAGTTCAACTCTTCACAACTGGTCTAGATTTAGGCGCTATGTAACTAAAAAGTCGAATATTCAAGACATCAAAGATATCAAAGTATTCATCATCAAAGTATTTATTTAGAAACATTGAGTGCATCCAGTGTTAAAAGGACCCTGAGAAGAATTTATAGGAATATTTTCAAATCTCGTTATCAAGGATATGAAAAGTTTTTAACCGATGAGGAAAAAAGGTTTATATTCGCATTCGATAGGCGTAGTGTGGTGGAGGGTTATTAGTTGTTATAAATGTTTAGTAACAATAATTATCTAAACATATTTCTTGAAGTCCTAGATTTAATTTTATCTTTTAACATTTTATTGCATCTGTTTCCAAGTGAACATTATAAACATTTTATTACTTATTATTTATTTTAAAACAAGGTTGTTTCATTAATAACATCTCAATGTTGATTATATTTTGTACATGTGCTTATTCCATGTAAGTATACTTGTCTTAGATAAATTACTAATTAAGTCGCACTAGAAAGTTTTTTAGCCTGAAATAGTATTGTGATATTAAAACAAAAAATTGTTTATGAGTAATGTGAAATGGGTCTTTAGGTGTATAGTTTGTTTAACTTCTGTGAATGTTATTTTGTATTTGTAAAGATGTATTGTTTTGGAATCCTCATTGACTGTCTTATAAAGGATTTCTGTTTGTGGGGTCCTCATGTGCTTGCAAAGGCCGGTTCTGTTTAGACGCACCGCTGTTGACGCCGCTTCCTGTCTGATGAACATTGGGAAGGGTCGCAGGTCCACCATCGCTTCAAGGGCGAAAGTTCCCATTGTTTACCTACCATTCTATGGCACTGCCAGAAGGTGATAGTG